CTATTAGCAGCTCTGGGGCAGGGTGTCCTCACAGATGGAAGGAATGGCCTCTCCTCTGCCCTGCCGACCTCCTCACTCACAAAGGTGTCTGAAGGCAGCCCACTGAACAAAGCCAAGGGCCCTGGGGCCTGTGTGCTGGGTTAGGGGAGAGGTGGCAATATAGAGTCATCGTAGGCACATACTTATTAGCAACCAGTGACACCCAACTGGCTGCTTCCTTATTTTTCACTACTCCTGAAATATGTACTCACAATACACTGTGAATGTCATCAGTGGAATGAAAAACATTTTCCTGTGCAATTTGGGGATGATATTTGTCCTGTGGTATAGGTTCTTACTTTACAAATGGATTCTATGCTTCTTTAAATTACTGATAGAAAGACAGCAGAATTGAAAGGCCAAGATTTTTCCAGTACCAGGAAGGCCCAGATGGGGCTGTGATTTCAACCGTGAGTCTGAGAGTGGGATCATAGATGCCTAAGGCCCAGTTGGCACTGAGTGCTGCTCTCATATTCTGCCCTGTGTGTTTTTAATTCTTGCACCCGAGGGATTTGCTTGGTTTACATACTGATTAGTTTATAGCGCTGATGCTAATTTGCACTGACATTAGGGATTACATACTGAGAATCATTAAATATAAAGGGAGCAACGTTGTAGGAGGGAGAGGGAGCGTGACTCAGAGGACCGAAGATTTGAGGGACGGAAGCCTGTCCCTTGCTTCCCTACTGAGTGGGGGTGTGTCCTGGGCTACCGCTCAGCTGTCTGTGGGTCCCTTTCTATACCTGAAGTTACAACAGGAGAGACAGCAGAGGAGTTCTGCTTTATCACGCTTGCCTTTCCTATGGATTAAGTAATGAAAGCAATTAATGATAATATAGAGAATTCCCACCTGCAGCTCTTCTGTAGCTAATTTTCAATTCTATGTTGATTTCCTTCAGTAACTCCCATCCTGACCCAGATGGCATCTATTTGGAAAATTTAGGAACTCTTAGTATTAGCATAAGCCAAGCAAACTGCGAGATAAATGAGTGCAAAGAAATGATCTAATGTGAGAGAAAAGTGAATATAAATGACTTCTGGATTTTCCAGGCCATGGGGTCCTTAAATCATAACCACAAATATTTGCTAAGCCCCTACTTGGTGCAGGGCACTGGGGACATCACCATGAGATGAACTTGGTCCCTTTGCTCCCAAGGCTCAGAGTCAAGAAGAGGGGACTGTATAAGCAGGCTGAGACTCTGGAGCCAAGAGGGGACGTGCATTCTGTTCCCGCAGACATTAGGAGCTGAGGGTGGTCTGATTCCTGAGACTTCCTTTTCTGACATATGTAAAGGTCCCTGGACATCTTTCATCTTTGTTGCCCTGTACAGGAAGTGTGTCCACTGGACATGACCCAGTGCTCCTTCTCCCAGTGCCCACACTGAGGTGCTGCAGAGGCCAGGAGGAAGCTCCCTGAGGACACAGGTGCTCCGGGTCTGTCCCTACATCTCCATACAGTAGGCACTCAGTGGTCCTTTGCTGAATAAATCGAATCCCCATAATCAGCTGTGTAGAGAAGGCATTCTTGTGATCAGCAGCATTAGTTTCTCATTTTAAAAATGGGGGAGGTAAGGTTCAGAGAGATTAGTTAAGTCCAGGGACACATGGCTGGAACCAAGGCCCAAATGCTGGCCTTCACCTTGCTGTGTGTCCAATAGCCAGCGAGGCACTCAGTGGTGCGGGCGGACCGTGGCTGGCAACTGGAGAGACGAGTTTCTGGTCTTGCCTAGATCCTAACGGCATGTGGTGTCAGGGAAAGGGCTGGAAATGGGATCTGCCTGACCCACCTTGATGCCTGAACTCTGGGTCATGCTCTCTGTGTGACCACGGACAAGTCACCTCATCTCCCGGAGACTCAGTTTCCTCATGAGCAAAACTAATAATAACTTCATCTGAGATCTGCAAGGAGAAACGGAGGTGGTAAAATTGATAGTGTCTGGTAGTTTATTATTATCAGTTTAAACATTTTTTCTTACTGCTACTATTATCATTCACCTTTAAACACATGGAACAGAGAATACATTTCTACCTGTGTCACTATGAAAGTTTTGAGACAGACTATGGTACGGTCCATTATTTTGCTTCCAAGAAACACAGTGGTCGGTGTCCTTTCTGATTCACCTGACAAGTTTCATCTTGCTGAGTTTATCTCTGTTGCTGGGAGGGCTTCATTATTTCCCTCCATGTGGAGTCTACATTTCTTGATTTTTGTGTATCTCAGGACTTTCATAATGAACCACGTAAATTGCCTTGTATGTCACAGTAAGTGACTTTCAAGGTTATTCAGAGAATCTGAATCTATGTCAGGCCCAGGAATAAAAGCAAGGTTCCTTTTTCCGTAGCCATTGTTCTCTAATTTAGAAATGCTGACGTGACATATTTTCTAGTATTGTTTCTAAAAATATTGGCTGTTTCATTGCACAAGGTTGGCTAGTTCACTTATTTTGTAGGTTTCCTGCTGGGAGAGTCACCCCAACCCCAAGTCTTCTGTAATCGGGGCCAGGCAAGGTGCCTTGAGGCAGGAGGATGACTTGAGCCCAGGAGTTGGACGCTACAGTGGTGTGTGATAACACCTCTGCACTGTAGCTGGGGCAGAAGGGTGAGATTCTGTCTCAAAAAAAAAAAAGTCTTCAGGAATTGGTCTATCTTTTGCACTTCCCCATTGCCTTGTAATTTTTCTGTTGATCCCTTGCTCCCTGGAAGAGTGAAGTTCTGTTCACTGCTGTGCTCTGACACCAAGTACAATCCATAGCACACACTAGGGCGGCTCAGTAATCTTTTGCCTTTTTCTGGATGAGTGAAGATGGTTAAGACTGAGAGGGGATGAGCACAGCGCCATGCACATGTGGACTGGTTGCTCATTTTTCTTTCCTGATGCAGAGGTGGTGAGACTGTGTGCCCTGCGAGCCCTGATGTGAGGGTGGATGGGCGGCAAGATCTACCTGTGTGCAAGAGGTTGGCACCAGTGCAGGGAGAGGTTTAACACGGCCCTGTTTCGGAAACTATGTTTACGGTTCAAAAGATCAGACGCTACGGATACCTTCTCCTCTGTAAGGGAGGATGGCTTTGGTGATGCTCACTGATGGGATTTATTTAAAACACAGCTACAGTCAAAGGAGTAGGGTCCTGGCCTCATACCGGAGGTGGTGGGTTCAAACCCAGCCCCGGCCAAAAGCTGTAAAACACAGCCACAGGGTGCTATTTATTTAAAGCACAGACATGTCCTACAGCTACAAGACAGGTTGGCTGTGTTAAAATATTTAGATCATTAGTGCAGCTACTTGGTGTATATCGTGGAAAACATTTTTATTATGGATATAAAAATAATATATACTCACTCACCATAGAAACTTCAGAAAATATTGACTAAAAGAAGTAATCACATCATCCAGAGATAAGAGCTGATGGCGTGTTGGTGGATATCTTTCAGTCTTTTATTTTATATACATATTTTTATGTATATTTTACACATATTGCCATAAAACCTGCTCTAGGAAAATACTGATAAATCGTGAACATTTTTCCTGCCCGTCTATCTTCTCGGGTGACCTGGTTTTGGTGGCTGCTCTGTGTCCCCTGGGGGGCTGTGCCATGGTTTCCTGCAGTGATCCTTACATGGGGCCACAGTCAGTGTGGTGTCAGTCTTGGGCTGCTAAGAGAAAATGGAACATTTGGGTAGCTAATCTTTGTGTACATCTATGTGTATGATTCCTTACACACAATTGATTCATCGAAATGAGAACATAGGATCCAGAGTTATATTGAATTTTAAGTCTCATTCCCTAATCTCACAAAAGAATTATGGTTTATGAAAACCTTTGCCAGTTTATTAGGTGACAGACGATATGTGGCACCGTTTGGATTTGCATTTAAAACCATTTTTGATGATAAACATTTTCCTCAATGCTCAACCCTTTTTAATTTCCCTTTTGGAATTTCTGATTGATGTCCTCATCGTTCCTTTCTTGATTTAATAGAAATCTTTCTGAATTAGCAACATTATTCCTTTTTCTGACATGCATGTGGCAGTATTTTTTCCCAGCTTGTCTTTTCTGCTTTAGTTTTAGCTGACGGTGTTTCACTAGACAGCCTCCCTCAACGGTTGGCATAGTTTTGCTTACGGTAAACTTTCTAACTCACCTGTATTAAGTTAGAAATCAAATACTTTAGGGATGAGTTTGTGATTCCTTGGTGTTAAATACAGATAAGACGCCTGTAAAGACAGCTGACCAGAATAAGGCTCAAGCCTGTGCCCACATTTTCACCAGCATTGCTGTCACCAAACATGTCAGCTCCAGCAAGAATAAGAGCGGGAGCTAAACAGGTTTTAAATGATTTTGACAGGCCTTTAGCAAATCTCTTCTGAGAAGCTCTGACCCAAGCATCTGCAAATCAGTCACAGCCGAGGATCAGCTCTAGAATTTAGCCCTGTTTGCTTGGAGGCAGTGCTGTCTAGAAACATACAATGCAAGCCACATGCGTGGTTTTAAATTATCTAGTAGCCACGTGAAAAAAATTAAGAACGAGTGAAGTCAATTTTAATAATACACTTAATTCAACCCAGTAAATCCAAACTATTATCATTTCAGTGTTTCATGAACAAAAATATTACCAATGAGTTCTTTTGTACTCTTTGTGTTCATGCTAATTTTGAAAAAAATCTGGTGTGTGTTTAACACATTTGACACGTTTTAATTTGGGCTAACCACATATCACATGAGGTCACAGCTTACTGAACAGCGAAGGTCTAATAATAGAAACTTAGCTATGGGCAAAAACAAAAGCCCCAACAGACTGTAATTAAAGCAGAAACTTACCTAAAGGACTTCTTCCCAAGGATGGGTAGATACCCTCCTAAAGAGGAGAGTGGCTGGGGACTGCTTGGTGAAATTTTTTACTCTAAATATTCTTGTCAACCTGAGGACTCAGCTTCTCCACACCTATGTGTGTGTTACTTTAAGGGCCAGCAGTGATGCCAGCCAAGCCCCACTCAGAACGGAGCCCTGGCCATTGGAACCCACTGCTCAGGACAGCCTACATGTGTCCATCACGAGACGAGAATGGCTTCTTCAGGAAAAGCAGCAGTTACAGGTAAGCAGGTGAAGGATCTTCAAGAAACAGGGTTGTGGCTGGGCGTGGTGGCTGACACCTGTAATCCCAGCACTCTGGGAAGCTAATGTGGGAGGATTGCTTGAGCTCAGGATTTTGAGACCAGCCTGAGCAAGAATGAGATCCTGTCTCTACTAAAAGTAGAACTAGCTGGGTGTTGTGGCGAGCACCTGTAGTTCCGGCTACTTGGGAGGCTGAGGCAACAGGATTGCTTGAGCCCAAGAGTTTGAGTTTGTGGTGAGCTATGACACCATGGGGCACTCTACCTAGGTGTCTAACTTTGAGACAGAGTGAGCCTCTGTCTCAAAAAGAAAAACAAACAAATAAAAAAATTGAAAAAAAAAAAGAGAAATAGGATGGCATTTTTCTTCACTGTTTAAGCTAAATGCAGCCAAGTGGGTCTTTGTTTTTCTTGAGTATAGCAGTTAGAGCCTTGGCTGTCAACCCAGGGAGGTCAAAAAAGAGATGGTAGGAATGATGAGAGAGCCTGTAGGACTCATTATAAACCACAGGGGAGGCTCAGTAGCATTTGTGCCTGTTTCCGATATTCCTCATTACCTTCTGATTATATGTTCCTTGTCTTCCAGGCCAATTTGTCACCTCTTATCATTGTGACCTTTAGAAACTTCCTTTGAAAGGTACAAAGAACTCTGTCCTATGAAAATCCTTTATGGAAATTCCTACCCTGGTGTATTGTGAGCTGCGGTTGTTAAGAGACAAGAGCTGTAAGTCGGGATGGGCAAGGCATGATAGCAGGTGACATGGAAGCCTAAGACTGGCCCAGAGCAGTGGGCGAAAGTCGCCCAAGAATCATCCAGGGGCAGAAATCTGGGCACAGTACCAAGTCCAGCCAGAGACCAGTCAGGAGCTCTGGAAGTTGACAGGGCACCAGCCCCAGCAGGCTTTGAGATTAGGTCCATGTGTGCTTGAGTCTGGGCCTGAAAGAGGAGTAGTGAGCAGTGAGGATGCACTGATTAGAGGTGATGTGACTTCATAGAAATAGCACGAGTCTTCAGCACCCCAGTCCTAACCCTGGCTTATACTCTAAATAGCTGAATGAGCTTAAGATAATTCATGGGGGCTTAGGCAAGTGCCTCTCCCTCATGCAGAATATTCTTACTATCTGAGCTTGCCCCCATCCAGTTGCTACAAGAGCAAGGTAGCAAAGGCAGGTCAAAGTCACCGCAATTGGGAAATATTCCCCCAGTAAACTGAGCACTTTGATATTTGGTGAGCATCATTGTCAAGTTTGGGTAGTTGAAAATGTGAGATCTGGCTTTTGTTTTTTAACACCATTCACCATTTAAGGGTGTGAACAATTCCTGAGAACAGAAAATAATTTTAGCTCAGGGTACTTACTGTTTGAAGCCCTCTGGGGAAAGGTGCTTGAATATTCATTTATTCAGCAGGTATTTTCTGAGTGTCCACTATATGCCAGGCTGTTTGAAATGCTTGGGATTCCTGGGGAGCTTGTGTTCCACTGATGGTGGGATTGGGGAGACAGAGACAGACACCAGAGATAAACGTAATAAATACCTAAGTCAGCTGACCAGTGTGTCCGGTATAAGAGCTACAATGCGTGGGCCCCGGCAAGAGTGATGACGTCTTCTCATGAGCAGTGAGACTGAACTTAGCACTTGGAAGAGGAGAAGAGTAGGCCTTGTGGAGATTTCTGATGAAGCAGCTGGGCAGAGGGCAGCCAAGTGAAGTCACACAGTGTCTCCCATGTTCCCAGGGAAGCCGGGAGGCCTGTGTGGCTGCAGTAGTGTAAGTGAGGGGGAGGCCTCGGGGGAGGAAGTCAGAGGACAGGGCCTTGTGAGGACAGAGCTTTTCTCTGACTGCAATGAGGAGCCACTGGAGGGTTTGATGCAGTGAAGTGACCTGATCTGACCTCACTGTGGAAAACAGGATGCAGCAGCTCGGTGCCCTATAGCTCAGTGAGTAGGTGCCAGCCACATACACTGAAGGTGGTGGGTTCGAGCCTGGACCTGCTAAATAATGACAACTGCAACCAAAAAAAAAAAAGAAAAAAAAAAAGCCAAGTGTTGTGGGCGTGGCTGGCACCTGTAGTCCCAGCTACTTGGGAGGCTGAGGGAAGAGAATTGCTGAAGCCCAAAAGTTTGAGGTTGCTGTGAGCTGTGATGCCACGGCACTGTACCGAGGGCGACATAGTGAGACTCTGTCTCAAAACAAACAAAGAAACAGGATGCAGCTTCCTTAAAACATTAAACATGGAATCACCATGTGATCTAGGCATCCCCCTTCTGGTTATATACCCTGGAGTCAGAAGCGTGGACTCAGAGAGGTATTTGTAGGTATTCACACAACGTTTTCACAATAGCTACAAGGTGACAACAGCCCAAATGCACATTGGGGGCAGGAGGATGAAGAGAACGTGGTGTGTCCATGCCCTGGGACGCCGTTCACCTATTAAGAAGAGAGGGCTGACACGCCACAGCACATACTGTCCCTGAGGACATCATGCTAAGTGAAATAACCCTATTACGAAGGACAAATATTGTGTGACTCCACTTAGGCCAGTTTCCCAGAGGGGTCAAATTCATAGGAACAGAGAGTAGAATGGTGGTTGGCAGGGGCTGGAGAGGGGAGAGTGGGCAGTTACCGGTCAGTGGGTGTGAGCTTCAGTTCTGTACCATGAAAAGTGTTCTGCAGATGGCTGCTGGTGGTGGCAACACGATGTGTGTACTCAGTGCCGCTTAAAAGTGCTTAAGATGGTGAATTTTATGTTGTGTGCATTTTACCACAGTTAAAAAAACCTAAAAAAATAAAGAAACAAATAATAGGGTACAGAAAGTAAAGGAGTGACTAGGGAGGTGGTTAGGTGAGAGGCTTGTCAGGAATAGGCTGTTCTTGGAGGACAGGTGGGCGCTAAGCCACTGTTTTTCTTAGTAGTAGCAAGCTTCAGTGCTGTGTCATTTCTGCCCCTATTCCTGGGTGGGTTGGCTTCAGGAGGTAGAAAGTGAAGGTGTTGTGTACGTTGGGCTTGAGAGAACACGGATAAGAGATGGGGAGACACCAGGATCAGAGCTGTGCTATTTAATTGCCATTAGTATAGCCCGAAACCAATGCACAGAACATGGGAGTATGTGAATTAGAAGTCTGATTTTTCATTCAGAATTGCAGGGCAGTGAGATGATTACCTCCCATCCCACTGTGCACCAAATGAGCCTTCACTTCTTCACTAACCTGCTGCCCGTTTTATCCTGTGACCACAAGATTAGATGGTGCTTTATGGCTTATTTGGGTTTTAGCTGGCTATATTAATGGAAATTAAATTAGTTAATATTTTTATAAACTTCAGGCTGCATGACATTATCTGTAGTATCTTGTTCTCTCAATCCTGTAGACTTAAGAGATCAATATTTTATTATTTTTTAATTATTCTCTATACTCTAAATTCCTTTTTTTTTTTGAGATGGAGCCTGAGTCGCCCTTGATAGAGTGCCATGGCATTGTGCTCCCAGCAACTTCAAACTCTTGGGCTCAAGTGATCCTCTTAACCTCAGCCTCTCAAGTAGCTGGGACTACAGGCACCTGTCATAATGTCTGGCTAGTTTTTCTATTTTTGGTAGAGATGGGGTCTCACTCTTGTTCAAGCTGGTCTCAAACTCCTGAACTCAGGCCACCCGCCTTGGCCTCTTGAGTGCTGGGATTAGAGGCGTGAGCCACGGTGCCCAGCCTGTACTCTAAATTCTTACATTTGGAGACAGACCAACCCAGGATTGTTTGGCTTTTTTGTTTTGGTCTGTGGCTGGCATCACCTGCTGAGCCCGCCTCTCACATGTGTGATCATGCTGCCCTGTGCTCTAACTCTTCCCTCTAAAATGAAGCCAGTCATTTATGTATTTGCTAGATTCTTCCAAGTCAAGTTCTTGGCTCACCACCCCCCACCATAGTTATTTAATGCGTGGGGGGAATGTTTTTCCTTCTGCCAACTCATTAGGAATATAAAGCTGGCATGATTATTCTAGTTCAGCAAACCTCCAGGAATCCGCCCGCCTCAGAAGGAGAGCGCTGTGGCTTTGGTGCATATGGCCAGCTCTCATTTAAATGAGTCATTATCTGCAGTACAGTTTGCCGTGAGCAGGATTAATTTATAAAATCTGGTTTTCCCATTCTCTACAGAAAGAAATTGAAGCCCTCCAAGCAAGGATGTCTGTGCTGGAAGCCAAAGACCAACAGCTGAGAAGGGAAATAGATGAGCAAGAGTGGCAAGCCCAGTGGCGGGACTGCGGCCTGAATGCCCTGATGGGCCAGCTGTCCCTGGGCCAGTTGCAGGAGGTCAGCCAGGCCTTGCAGGACACCCTGGCCTCAGCCAGTCAGATTCCCTTCTGTGCAGAGCCACCTGAAACTATAAGGAGGTAGGTTAGGTGACTTCCTAACTGATTTGGGATTACTCACCTCTTTGACCTGTTTGTTGGAATGATTTTGTCTGCTTTCATCCATAAATATTATCTGAGCAGTCCATATTTTTCCATGGAAGAATTATTAGTATTTGGGTGGGGGGATTCTTCATTGTGTGGGGTACTTCTGAACATTTGTAGCCTGCTAAATGCCAGCATTCTTCCCTATTCTGATACATATCCTCCATCCCCAGGGGCTGGAGTTCTCCTCTCCTTTTGAGAACTATTGGAGTTCAATTGGATAGAGATTTTGGTGCCAACATTTCCTGGGGATGGTCGTCTGGAGAGAAGTAAACTATGCCTCTCACCAAGGTGGGGGAGGGAGCCATTAAGAGAGGGAGCCTCAGTGACAGTGTTTCCATCTGAAAGAATGATTGTTCTAGGTAGCTATGATTTATTGAGTGCTTACTACATACCAGGACTGCACTAAACTTTACTTTCTAAATTGCTTATGTTATTATGTCCATTTTATAGATAAGGAAAACAAAGTTTTAATAAGAGAAAAAATGGAAACTTAAACTCCCGCTCATGGATTCTCAGGTCTGGTTTCTTGCCCACTCTGCTGCGGAGTGAGACTGCAGAGGATCTGTAAGGTGCACACGTACCTTTGCCCTTGGGCAGCTTTTCATCTTATTTTGGAGACAGACAGGACACATACACGTTGGACAAAAACAGCGAGTAGCACCTGAAAGGATATATAGACAGGAGTGAGGACAGCGAGTGCTGTGGGTGTGGAGCAAGGAGAGGGATTGATGCTTTGCTCAGTTATTGCACTGAAGAAAATACCATAAAACTCACCACCTGTAGTGGCTGGGAATATGGACTCTGCTGTTTGCTTGTCTGAAACTGAAGGTTGAATCCTCACTCAACTGCTTATTGGCTGCTTTGGAGGAAGGGGTGATAATAAAACCTACCTTACAGGGCTGTCACAGGGATGGGCTGAGTTAGTACCTA